AGAAACTTCATCCTTTTGAGGAACTGAATACTGCAGTCCCCAATTAAATTTTATCTGGATGTTTGTTTCCACTCTGTACATTTGTGATATCCACAACACACAACATAATATGAACTTTGTCTCAATAATCAATAATCAATAATCCAATACAATTGCCTGGTTAAGTAACATCTTTCAAAAAAGCAATGGTATCAGAATTCCTGTTGTTAGTTGTTTACCAATGCAAATTGGCAATGAAGATATCAAGATGTGTGGATAGGGTCTGCCTTTCAGAATCAACCATCAACAGTAAAGGACCAAGCAGTCATCGTTGTCTTGCACTTGGTTGAACAGCCATGAAAGCCTTGAAAAAAGATAGTTAAATACCATGATGTGTTTTATGTTGTACATACAAAGATCAGAACTGTGCAAGCCATTTAGTACTCTACGGAAACAAAAGTTGGACTTTGAAGAAGCAGGATAGGAAGCGTATTGATGCCTTTGAACTCTGGTGTTGGAAACATTTGTGAATATCATGGCTAATCAAGAAAACAAATAAATGGATCATTGAATAATCAACCCCAAATTCTGACTTGAGACACAAACGACCAGGCTTAAATTAACCTAATTTGTGCACAATATGTAAAGACCCAGCTCTCTGGAAAAATTCTGGGAAGGGTGGAAGGAAAGATAAAGAGAGGATGTCCAGCAGCAAGGTGGATTGGACTCGGTTATAGTTTTAATGAGGGCACCACTGGGAATCTTGAAAGAACAGGTTAGGGCAGAAGTGGCAACTTTATGATTTGTGAACTTCAACTCCAGAATTCCTGAGTGAGCACGAATGCCTCAGGAATTTGGGGAGTTTAAGGCCAGAGGTCATAAAATTGCCATAGTTGCCCACCCCTGGATTAAGGATAGATCATCATGGAGATCATGATGGTCTCCATGGTCAATAAGGATTGAAAAGGATTTGATGGCACATAATCAAAATGAGTGTCAGCCTCTAATTTGCTTGCTTGCTATTGGCTGCCATAGAAACGGGGAGGGTGGGGGTTTGATGTATTTGGGAGGGGGAATTATTGGTGCTGGAGGAGTTATCAGGAAAGGAGTTTTGTTTTCACCATCTTCTGTGCATGCTGATGGCTTGTGTTTGGTCTTAGTCAAAGTCAACCATCTTTGCATAGCAACTGGATGAGGCCTTTTGAAGATGCACCCCACATGACACCAAAGGGCAGATTGGACATTGGGTTGCGGTAATTGGGGGGAGGGTGCTTGGAAACGTTTGATATGTACATGTTCGCACCTTTTGGGCTCAGATCTTGCTTTCTTTCGCTGCTATCAATTCATATCTAGTAAAAGTACTTTATCTCTATTCAAATGAAGTTGAGGTTTTTCTTTCTTGGATATTGAAGGAATCATGCCTGACATTAAGCAAGATCTCACTTCGCACCCATCCGGGAGTTAAAAGCTTCTGTGGGGGGAGCAGCCAAATGTTTTTCTTGCATCCCATTCCACATCATCGGTGGTAGGATCAAGTGGACTGTAATCTGGGAAATTGAGCTATTAAAAAATTGGTTTACAGGGTCACAATATTTTTTTTAAAAAATGCGCCTTTAAAAAAAAAAAAAGCAAAAGCAAGCGAACTCCAGCCTAAAAGCAAAACCAACTTTCCAAATAGAGACAGCAGGTGTGGAAGAAGGAAGAAGTTGCAAAATAACGGGGTGGGAGGTGGGAATCCACACAGTTCTCCTCCTTTTTCCCTAAGGACCCCATGTGCCAATTCGCCATCATTAATCCATGAAACGTAGTTAACGGAAAATATGATCCTAGCGGGGCAAGATTAAACGCAGCAGCAGAGACCGATTGCCCGGGCGGGCTGCTACCCGGTCACTCTCTGCAAGGCTGAGTTCCTGAAAGTGGCTTTATTTGAAAGGCAGATAGTGGAGGAGGCCGCAAAACGTTGAGGTAATGGTATATTTTTGTCCCTTCTGTCCCACTCCCCCGCCCGGGCCACCCCGCCCCCGCCGGCCTCCCAGACTGCAGTAGATCGTGCGATCCACACTAATCAGCCTCCGCTTTGCTTGCCTTTCTCCGGGAGACGGCGGGTTACGTCATTCCGTAACACAGGCAGCAGCTGTTAAATCGGCGGGATCTGCAGAGCTCCAGCGCTTTTTTCCTCCCCCCCCCCCGCCTCCCTCTTATTTCAGGTTTAGGCTCCGGTGCCTGGAGAAAACACGGATGGGGATTGGGGGAGTCGGAAATCTTATGGGATGGCCCCTTCGGAACCAGGCATCTTTTTGAAGAACTGTTTTATGGTTACAAGGTTTGGATTACAAAAGTCCAGCGACGCTTGGCGGCAGTAAAGTGGCCGTTCGGATGTCTGCAGTCTAGATCTTAGTTACACCAGCTACGTAGGCAGAAGAACTTGGTTAACTGGCCTCTTTCATCTGCTGCGCTCCTCACCAGAGACATGGTCCCCGTCCCGTCCCCCCCCCGGGCCTTTTCTGCACAAGGGTTCAGTTTGTTAAAACATGTAACTCCAGCCAAGGATGCTTGTTTCTGCTTCTAAATCGAACTCGGAGAAATAAAACTGCAGGAGTTATAATATTGAAAATCCTAGCCTCTGCTTGCATAAGCAACCCCAAGGGCTTCTAGAGTAAAAGAGGTTTTCTACTTAACCCTTTGGTTATGTGCAGTTCTTCCAGCTTTCTCTCCTTAAGCCTGTGCTTTTATTTTTGCTTTTGTGGCAGGTGGTGATAGTAGTGGAGCTAACAAAATTTAGGAGAATAATAAACTTCAGTACAATAACTTCTGCCAGCTTTCCTTATAAAATTCCACAAACAGGCAAGGCAAATACAGAGAAATTGTTCCTTCCTGCCTTAGAATTTTTAATATTGCTCAGATAAGGATCAGAATGTGAAACCACCTGCTGGTACTACCTTACCTTTAATATGATGAATGTATCTAAATGCAAATAGCAAAGCCCTCTGAAACATGAATATACAAACTATTGCAGACACTGGGCTGCTCTTGGTGTGGATGGAAACTATTGTTTGCCAGTTCTGTGGGTGTATACTCAGAAGTAAGGACAACTGGGTTGTTACCCCTAGGCATACATAGGCCTGGACTGGGGCAGGCAACAGGCTGATACATGTTTGTTTTCCAGGCCACTGCATAACAGTTTGAACTTTATACATATCACCAATTTTATTTTTATCCTTTCCTTCAGACAAGAAATTACTAGTCACTGTGAACAATGCGAAACTGACAGGTGTCTGTTTGAAAAAAGGGTCTTGAAACTCATTGCTCCAACATGTAGAAATTATTGTAACAACCTTTGCTTCCTTATAAAGAAAGAATATTTGAGATCCCAGGGTTTTAAAAGTGATTGTGATCTTTTTCTTTTGCCTCTCTAGGTAGCTCTCAGCAAGCCACAATCTCTTCGCACCAAACCACTGATGACGTCTTTGAAGATATCAGTTGCCATCCTGGGCTAATAATAGCATTGGAAGCTTGGGCATTTTAATAGGGGAAACCACATACAAAGAAAGAGCTACAGCAGCGAGATACATTTCAGAAGAAATGTGGAAGGGGAAATCACAGGTCACCCGTTGTCTGTAGACAGATGCTTATCACCTTGCAACAAGAGAAATATATTCCTGACCTAGAGAAAATTATTGTGTTAAGGATTATTGAGAGAATTCTGTAAAGTGCTAAATATACATTTATAAGCTAAACACTGGAGTCCTTATATGTATCCAAACTGGCACACAACTGAATTCTCCCATTCTTGGTCCTTTTCCATTGTTTCTTCTTGACCCAGGCTAAGGGACTATACTCATTAGTAGACACCTGCCAGTGAGAATAGTTTAAGAAAGCCTTTTCTAGCTACCATGAAATACATAACATGTAATACCTGTTTTTTGGAATAAGATTTAAACTAGAGGAAAAGAAGTAACCTCCTCCTTAACTGAGCAAAACAAAATCATTAAAAAAAACTCCAAATACTGTTCAAATTGCAAAGCTATATTTTCTTAAAATAAGGATGTTACAGTAAGTGAAGGAGATTGCATAGCTTATATTCTATTCACTTCAAACCTACCTTTTGTTTATCCCTCCTATTGCAATAAGTTGTTTTGGAAAAGGAGAGCAACTGACTAGAAATCTAGAATTCTATTCAGTGTTAACACAAACGTGCCTTTTTCAAGAGGCAACTGGACTTTCTGGTTTTTCTTTGAAGACATTTTACTTCTCATCCAAGAAGCTCTGAGAAGCTTCTTGGATGAGAAGCGAAATACCTTCAAAGAAAAACCAGAAAGTCCAGTTGCCTCTTGAAAAAGCACTTTTGGGACAACCATGACCTGGATGACAGAGTATCTCCATAGACATCTAGTGTTAACATCTGCTTGCTGAATGACACAAAACAGATTCCCCTTTCTTTGAAGTTTCTCAACACCAGATATGTTCCAGAGGCCTAGTGGATTGCCTGTCAAATAGCACAGGCATCAGTAGCTAATACATTCTAAACCAGTGTTTCTCAACCTTGGCAACTTGAAGATGTCTGGACTTCAACTCCCAGAATTCCCCAGCCAGCATTCGCTGGCTGGGGAATTCTGGGAGTTGAAGACATCTTCAAGTTGCTAAGGTTGAGAAACACTGTTCTAAACTCTTGCTCAAGGTAAGCATACTTGGGAAAAAGGACTACATGTTAAATTGGATTTTTCCCATCTTTTTGCATAAGCATTAAAGCACAAAATTTACAGGGCCCTTCTATAAAAAAGGAGTCTGGAAGTTCCTTTTTTTTTTTTTTTACTAACAATTTTTAATAAAAGACGCAACACTTTCATGAGCTGGAGCAAACATCAGATGGGGTGAAGTTTGGAGGAGGGAAGGAAAGACAGGGTGGCTATGCAGATGCAGGTTACATAAAAGTCAGATTACAAATGTCTTATCGATAATTGTACAGCAGTGCATTAAAACTCATTGTTGAAACGTTCAAAGGTTAAATGAAACGTTTTGATTATGAGTTCAGCGATTTCTTGCTCAGTGGTGCTTTTTTCTCCCAAAACAAAACATTTTGAAGTCTGCCACAGAGTGTCCTAGTTAGAATGCTCTGATAATACTTCATCCTTTTTTTTTTGGAGTCCTGATGTTAAATTTGTGTCTACTAGTTTTTGTGCAAAAATTTGTTCCATTTCTAATCCAGAGGGAAATTGTTGATCACAATAGAAGAACAACATGTGAAGGTGGCTCTGGTCTTACGTGTGTGCTTATTGGGGCCTGTGATGCTACTGTCAATGTATATGTGGGGGCAAAATAAACATCTGGGTTTGTTGTAGGGTCTGGTTTTATCCTGTTTTTATCCTTTGTGAGAATATGTTTCAGGTAGGGTTGCTGTCTGTATGCAATCTTCCAGCTAGCGCAATATAGACCGTAGTTTATTAATGATGCATTTGCCTGTGCATCAACTGTGAGCTATAGTTAACAACCAATCATGTTTCTGCAGTACAACTTTTAATAGATCTTCCCTACTAAGAGTGCTTTTTCTAAGGAATTCCTTATATCATTCCATTATTTTCTTAGGATGTAGATGTTTGGATGTTTTACAGTGCCCTGTATATAGTCCTGCATAAACATAAATACTTGGGAGACTCAATTACACATATTGTAGCACTTGCTAAGGTCACAGATATTTTTGAATAAAATATATCAAGGAGTATATCAAGGAGACAATGTATGTGGTTGCTAAGACTGACAATAACTTCATAGTATAATCAGCTAATCAATACATAATATTTTATTTATCTTATTTTTACAGGAGGCACAAACTAGAAGCCTGCATGTAACTCTGTTGTAGATTGGTCTATCATTTGGCTCCATTGCTGAAAATACTGGGCCAGAAAAACAAGAGCTTTCGTATGTCAGCAATCATCCATTTGTCCTTGACTGTTTTTCTTTCTTTTTAATCACAAGGAAGAAATCATCTCTGCCAGCATGACTGGCTAGCTGGCACAAGTACTGCCATCTTCTGGAGATGTTTTGGTCATTTCTGGTGAATGGAAAGGAAGTAGGTTAATCAATTTTGGTGTCATCAACAGTGATGTTTGAGGATGCTTGGAAAAAATATTTTGTTACATGTTCAGAGATTAAAGCCAAAAAATGAACACTTATCTAAAAATTCCAAAACCACAATCATATGGCCACCCTCATCAATCAGAATTTGATTAGAACTTCAATTCTTTTGCACCACTGTAATCCAAAGATACGAAGGCAGGTTATTCTCATTGCCGGAGCCCTTCCTTCTGTCAGTTGAAATGGCTAATTGAATTCTTATGCTGGTAGGAGAGTTCTGGTGCAAAACAAAAGAGAAGGGTTATTGTCACCCTTTTGGGAGGATGGCCACTTACATGCTTACCTGCTATAACTAAAGGGGGCAAGCCACAAGCTGCTGCAACCTAACAGAGTCTCAAGTTGCCACTCCTTCACCCCACTCCTGATTCAAGATAGAGAGGTGGTAGATGTAGTCTTCCTAAGGAAACAAATTAAGTTCTTGCTTACTGTTTTGTTTTTCTTCCCATTTTTTTGCAATAGCACTAGCACTTAGACTTATATATCACTTCACAGAGTTTTTACAGCCCTCTCTAAGCAGTTTACAGAGTCAGCATATTGCCCCCAACAATCTGGGTCCTCATTTTACCTACCTCGGAAGGATGGAAGGCTGAGTCAACCTTGAGCCGGTGAGATTTGAACTACTGAACTGTAGCTAGCAGTCAGCTGAAGTAGCCTGCAGTATTGCACTCTAACCACTGCGCCACCTGGGCCCTCAGAGAATCAGAGACACCCTAGCTGTGACTTTTAGATCCTGCTTTGTTCCCATAACACAAAAAGCAAACACCATAAGAATGAACAGCTCTAGAAACAGATTTATTTATCAGAGGTTTCTGAGTCATAATAGCCATATGTTATCCCTGTACTGTCACTCCTATTTTCTGACTGCAACCCATTACTATTTATTTTTGCATGCCTAACACTACCATCCTAGTGAGTGGATAATTCAGCAATCATCACAGTGAACAGTTTTGCTGGAATATTGGCAATTGCAGCATCAAATCAGGCTCAACTCTTGGAAACTTCATGGTTGCATCCATGGAGATTTAAGATAAAATACAAAAATGATTTACTGTCCTCTTTTAATTTTTAAAAATGTCTTAGTTAGTTTACAGGTCTGCATTTACTACTGGTCTCTCTCCCAAGCAGAGGTGGGTTGCTCCTGGTTCGGCCTGGATTGGGTGAACCGATAGTAGCGGCAGCGGGAAGCTCCGCCAACCCGCCTGGACAATTCTGCACATGTGCAGAAGTGTCACGCACACGTGCAAGCGCGCCCAAACTGGTAGTAAAAAAATTGGCAATCCACCACTGCTTCTAAGTACTAACCACACCACACCTTGAGCTTAGGAGAGCCTGACATGAACAATATATGCCTTTTTTTGTTTTTGTATGTCAATTTCTACTATGCACACACTTGCATTCCCATGAAATAAAGTACTCTGTGATAATACCTACTGGTAAGCTTTAAACTGTGTCTTAGAGGTATTTTACATGTAAGAGATTCAAACTGATGCCAATTGAAGAGAATGTATGTAGCTCAGGGTTGCGCTGTGGAGTCCTTGGTGCCGAGACTGGTTCTTGCTTGCAGCATTTTGTTACCTGACTAGGTAACATCTTTAATGCTACAAGCAAGTGGGGTTTGCTTTTGTTTATGTGCAGTAGCTTGTCCTGTCAGTGTTGGTGGTGATATGGTTTTCTCCTTGGTAGGTCCTTGACTAAGCTGCTGTTTACTACTTGTTAGTCTGCAAGGTCAGAGACACCAAGGACTCCCACAGATTAGAAATGTTTATTATATTTTGCCTTTCAGTTTAAATAATAATCAATGTGCCTTGCAAAATTAAGATTAAAACAAGATTCTCTGTCTCCCACCTGTGCAAGAGTTCAGCCATAGAGACAGCAGATTGCATGGCTATTGAATTTTTTTTTAAATTATCCCAATTGGGATTCTCCATCAAAGAGAATGGAGGGTGGGACAGAAAGATTCCAGGCATCTATGACAACTGTTAAAGGAGAGCTTGTGGGGCAGTTTAATCATTCAGAGACAAATGAAAATGCCAAGGTAATCGTGATCAATTATTCCTGAAACAGACTGGAAGCCAGTGAAGCTGTGACAAAAAGAAGAATATGCTCCCAAATAAAAAAGGTGCGTTCAGGAGAAACATGTTGCGATTACTATATTAAAGTCTCATAATAATTAAATTATAAGTCAGTTGAAGCAAAACCTCTCTTTCTCTAAGAACAATGTAGATGATAAACCCACAAAAAACTTTGCTGGAGCTCCTAATGCGCAAAGCTCAGTTCAGGGTCATTCCTGATCTAAAAATTGGACAGGAAAATATAACCCATTTGACACTTGGTAAAAATCCCTATTGACAGATCAGTGGTTCCATGAACTAGGAATCTGTTCTCTGAATAGTTGATTTTTGTGTATCATGTTGCCCTGCTTCTGGCTTTAGTCACCAGTTCAGAACCTTGATACCCTTCAACCTGCGGTAGAGATATCGATGGGTCACCAAGAAACTCCAAATCTTCAGACAACTATTTCAATCATTTTGATGATACTATGGGAACCCTGAAGAATACCCTCAATTGTTCAGCCAATTCCCTAACATTCCATCTAGGGCAGTGTTTTTCAACCACTGTGCCGCGGCACACTAGTGTGCCGTGACATAGTGTAAGGTGTGCCGTGGGAAAAACAC